GCTCCGTCTCAACAACAGCCTACTGCTGTTGGAATGGAGCAGCCAAGGTCTCCTCTTGCCCAGGAAACTGGCTTCGAGGGTGTGTCTAGGTCTCACACGAGGAACATCTCGGCGTCTGATCTGGTTGCGTCCCTGTTCGGTCGACAGGCTCAAGCTTCACCTTCGGCTGCAACCCCACCCATGATGCCTACTACTTCGCAGTTCGCTCAGCCTGGTCATTCCGGTGTCGGCGAGAGTTCCCTGTCGGCGGCCCCTACTGCTGAAAACACGCAGGAGATGCTGCTTCGTCTGCTCAACCGACCATCACCGAGCCAGGACGTGTCCCACGGGCACGGGAAGGCGGTATCCCAACCAGCAGCGTCTGTCTCTCCGGTCAAGTCCCCTGTCGCTGAGCCGATCGCACAGGCGTCAGTTGAAGTGCACGGAGCGCGTCCTGAGGAAATGGTGTCTGGGAAGCCGGGCATAGTATCTTCTCAACAGTCCAAGTCGACGCCGACGCCCAAGGAAGGCATCTTCACATACACTAACCCCTTTGAGCAACTGGCAGCTGCATCGCCACGCAAGGCCTCTCCTCAGATCAAGTCTCGGAGTGCTAGCCCCGCCGTCGAGCTCACCCAGCGCCAGAAGATCAACGTAAGTGCAACTGCGGATGTTGCTCCCGTGACTCAGCCAGCAGCGTCATCTGCCGCGCAACGCCCATCATCACCAATTCTTGACGCAGAGCAGCGCGAGGCTGTTAACCAGGTAGTTGGCAAACTGGTGGATCAGATAGTTGGCCGCGACGTTGCTGAAGTGCGTGACAACACGGCCAAGGAAGAGGAGTCGTTGCCTGTACGAACGGACAAGGGAGAAAGCACTCAAGCGGTCATTTCCTCCATCGCTAGTCATCTTCGTGATACAGCTGCTGAGGCCAAGCAGTCTGCAAAGATTGAAGCAGCGGCCGCCCAAGACGCCGCGGCACAGAGTACTGCAGCTATTAACGAAACTACTAATGGCGAAAGTGGCGAGGCCCTTGCAGACAGTTGGGAGAGCGCCGAGGACAGTGCTGCGAAGGAAGAAGAGCGCGTTGTTCCCGTGTACAACTTTCCTCTGAAGCCGTTCATCTCCATTGCCCTTAAGGGCAACGCCCAGGAACTTCCGACCATTCGGGATGATGGCATCATGGACATTGCCCGGTTGAAGAAGGAATTTGATCAACTGGACCGGTCCTTGACTTCGGCTACATCGGAATACATCGTTTACGCTCTAGCGAAGAATGGAGGCATGAGGATCATTCGTCAGGAGGATGGAAGTGACAAGCAAGTCTTCCGTGCAACCCGCGACCGTGTGTTTAATGTCACTCTCTGCACCTCAGCCACAACGAGCGGCGTATCCGAGGAGCAAGCGATCTTGGGCATTGGTGTCAGCGGCACGGTCTACTGGGCATTGATCTCGCGTGGAGAAAAGGATCTGTTCGAGCTGGATGCCTTGGAGAGCGAGAGCCTGATATTCCCGCCGTTCCCGGCTTCTGATGAGAACACTTCTGGTGGCCAGCTGAAAACGCGGGCCAAGAGAAGCTCTCGTCATCCCGGCTTCTTCGCCATCGGGCGTGGCAAGAATATCTACGTCGTCTGCCCCCAGGCGGCTGCCAATGCAAACTACGGTGTCTCGGGATCTCAACGCACCGTCAACACGGAGAAGTTTCTCAAGGAACGGGCCCTCAAGATCTCGACCGGCAAAGCTGGCAAGGACTTTGTGTTCAGTGATGACGATACTGTCATTGCTTCTCTAGACAAGACCGGCAGACTACGCTTCTGGGATATTCGCGAAGTGGTCAACAATCCCGATTTCTTCACGAACGTGCCTAGTCCAGCTGAGGTGCGCGTCCCATTGAACACCTTCGTTACCGGATCTCCCACCGAGAAGTCTTGGCCCACCTCTGTCCTGTTCATCGATAAGCTGCGTCCTTATGTCAAATCGATGGCGCTTCGTTACGTTTTGGTCGGACTTAAGCAAAACCACACCTTGCAGCTCTGGGATATTGGGCTTGGCAAGGCCGTGCAGGAGCTCAAGTTCCCCCACGAGAACGAATCGGATGCCATCTGTAGTGTCGCCTACCATGCAGCCTCTGGTATCATTGTGGTCGGACATCCTACGCGCAATTCCATCTACTTTGTTCACCTGTCCGCTCCTAGATATAATCTACAGCCCATGTCGCAGGCATCTTTCATCAAGCGCTCGGGTGAGAAGGACTCGAGCTTGCCCAAGCCAGAATCTACAGCATGCATGAGTGGCATTCGGGAGATTTCGTTTGCCTCCAAGGGCCAGTTGCGCAGCTTGGATCTTCTCCCTGCCAATAAGGCTCCTGGAGACAGCAAAGAAGACAGTGCGCTCTTCGAGCTTTACGTGATGCACTCGCGTGGCGTGACTTGCTTGACCATCAAGAAAGAAGACCTGGGATGGGGCGTCGACAATAAGATTATCCGCCCTGTGAATGCGCTAGAGGAGGGCTACATCGAAATTTCTGAGCTTCAGGCCTTCCCGAGCTACGTCGCCGATGAACCTTCAATCAATGGTGATTCGGCTTCTGCCTCCACCAGAGCTACGCCGAGGGAAGTGGCCAAGAAGACCCCTGAGGCGACCACTGAAGCTGCTGGTGCACCTGCTCCTTCAAGCACTGTGTCCCCTGTCAAGCCGGTTCTGAAGAAGAAGGCTGTCGATGAGCAGGCCGAGCCAGCTGCAGCGGCCAATGGCGTCGAGAAGCCTGAGAAAAAGAAGAAAAAGAAGGCTGCTGCTGCTACCGCCGTTACCGGTGAGAGCCCAGCGAAAGCCAAGGAAGCAACATTCACTGCTGCTGAGAGGCTGTCCGGTGAGTCCGGCATTGTGCCTCAACCAACTGAGCAGCCCACCCAACTGGCACCTTCCACAACACAGCCATCAACCATGGACGCCCCTCTCCCTGCCGTCACTGCTGCCGCGCCCCTCTCCTCTGAAGCTGGTGCCAGTAAAACTGGCGAGATCTGGGCCAAGCACTTGGAGGCACTCCAGACTGGCGTCACTACTGAATTTAATAAGAGTCTCGGTCGCGAGCTTGAAGGCCTGTACTCCCGCTTCGACGAAGAGCGACGCAACTGGGACGCTGCATCTGCAGCCAAACAGGATCAAGTCTTGCGGTTGGTCTCTAGCACCCTGTCTGACAATGTGGAGAAGAATCTGGCTCGTATCGTGTCTAGCAGCATTCAATCTGAGGTTGTGCCTGCCCTGACTGAGCTTACCTCGGCCGCTGTTGGAAAGCAGCTAGATCAGGTCATTTCTCAGCACCTGGGCAGTCTTGTGCCTCGTGAGGTGCGCCAGGCTCTGCCTGACGCAGTTGCTCGTTCAGTCAAGCAACCTGAAGTGATGAAAGTCATTTCGGATGCCGTTGGTCAGAAAATTGCTTCCCACCTTGAGAGTGAGATGTCGAGGGCCTTGCACAACTCCATCACCCCCTCCTTCAAGACCCTTGCTCTGCAGGCCGCAGAACAGATCGGTTCGGACATGCAGAAGCAGCTGCAGGTGCAGATGAAGCAGTACGAAATTCAGCGCCACAACGATGCTGCGAAGATCGATCAGCTCACAACTCTTGTTCGTGGTCTGTCTGACACGGTCGCGTCGATGGCTGCGGCCCAGACCAACTTCCAAAACGAAATCCTGAGACTCAACCGCGTGTTGAGCGCCAAACAGCAGGACGAGGAAAGCCGCAGCTCGCAGCAGGCATCATCTGCCGGGCGGGCTGCTGCTCCCAGCGAGGCCAGAACCGCCGAGGATCTTGAACTGGCAGAGATTGCCCAGCTGATGAGTGAGGGTCGGTACGAAGAGGGCTCAGTCAAGGTAGGAACTCTTATATTTAGATCAAAAGCAAGCTACTGACTCTATTGGTGCTGTAGTGGCTTCAATCTAGTCAGCAGGCCGATCTGTTCGACAACCTCTTTGTCCGCCTCAACCCATCGTACCTGACTAGGCTTTCCCCCATCGTGGCGCTTTCAGTCGGTGTTGCAGTCACGTCTTCCCTCCACACAAACGTTGACGACCGTCTCACGTGGTTGGATGTTGTCCTCCAATCTGTTGATCTGAGGGTACGTTCTGACAGAATTCCCCCGCTTTGGTAGCCATGACTGACTGAATGTTACAATTAGGATCCCGACATTCACGAGGTTGCACCTAGGATCATCGAAATTCTCACACAGCGGCTGAATACCTTGTACATGGAAGTCGCTTCGAACAACCCTCATTCTCCCGTCATTCGCAAACTCGGTCCCATCAATCGGCGCTTGCAGGAGCTTTGCAGATAATCTATGTACTTGCCGCGTGGGGTCATCCACGACGGAGACAACCTTAGATAATGAATGGGGAGAGGGATATGTCGTTCGTGTCTACGCTCTGGAAACATGGCTCACGACGATTGAAGACATCTGCAGACGAGGGTAATGCCCAGACGAGAAGGATTGCGTGCACATTTGGGGGAGGCTTGGATGTGGTGGACAAGGCTCTTTGGGCATTTCTTTTGTTTATTAATGATTCAAGGGAATGATGATACGTGCTAGTACGGAGCGAGGGCTTCTTAGTCTAATGACCGATGCATAATATCATGACCTATCTATGAGGAGGCGATATTGCACCTTACACACCTGTTATTCTGGATCTTCCAGCTAGCCTTGCACAGCATTGCGCGGAAGCTAAGTACTTGGATGTATCAGGATTTTAAGATCTTGCATTAATCCCGACATATAATGGAGCTAAATTCTGAGACTCATATAATTTTGGCTCCTGCATACGTAGGCAGGCAGGGCTAAATACATACAAAAGTATTAGCTATAATGTCTCCCTGCTGCCAGGCAGAGAAATTATGAGGATGGACAAGTAGTCAGAATGATGCATTCTTTCGATCCACCACTCTTCAAACGTCAAGGAAGACATGCTGTCATATCCACCATACTTGTATGGGTCCATACTCCATAGTGCATCTAGCATCACAGTTGGTATCATGCATGGAAAGGCACCGCAGTCTGACTCTCTGCACACTGAACAAGACCATCATCCTCGACAAACTCGAAGCCCAACGCCCGCCAGTTCAGCTCCTTGCGCCAGTGCAGACCGTAGTATTTTCGTTTTGTTGTCGGATCGGACGACTCTCCTCCCATTTGCACCTTCGCCTTCGATTCAGGCTCTTCAAGCTCGGCTTCAGGGCCATGACCGGGGCCGGGGTCACACGCCGGCGAGACAACAGGCTCCGAGGCCAGTCCGCCCGTAACCATCCGCCCCTTTCGAGGGAAGATTACCGCTCGGAAGCGCGAGAGGAGCATGCCCATGGAGCAGCATAAGCACGGCTCGTGGGTGAGGTATACGTCAAGGTCTGTGCAGAGGTAGCCGCCCTGCGCGCGCGGGCGGATACGCGGAGCAGCAACCGGAGCAACCGGAGGAGTGTTCGCTGTCGTGGGAACAACAGGCGAGGCGGAATTTGTCTTTAGAAGCTTTTCCGGTACTGGTGACGGTTCTTGTGATTCTGACCTGGACGCGGAGGGCGAAACCTCTGACTGGGAGAGAAAGTACGATTCCAGGGGACTTAGGTACGGTTTCGTGTCTGAAGCTGCGCAGTCTTCTTCACGGCGTTTCTGGGCAATCATCTCCACGGCGCGCATCAGCGCGTGCAGTTCAGGCCCGCCTTCCAGGTCAGAGTTGTATGTCTGTGCTGCTGCAGGTGGACCCGGTCCGACCTGCAGCTCTGACGTCGAGAGTGCCCCAGCTTCCCGACGAGAATATCGCGCGTCTCCTGCGACGGCAACAACGGCGTCCGTCCATCTCGTGCCGTCCTCGTCGTCAGTAGTGTCGATGGAAGCCAGGATTTCGGGATCGACGACCACCGCTCCGACTCTGCGGCCTCGGCCGGATTTCTCTGCTTCTTCTGCGACTTTCTCGGCCAGCGCCAAATAATATCCGGCTTGGGGTTGGATGGAGTCCAGTGCACGGTTTAGAATTTGCGGCGGCGGCGCTATCGTGGCTCGCGGGGCGGCGGGGTTGTAGACAACGGGCCAGTATGTCGATGTCCATTTTTCGGCTTGTTTAGCATTCAAGGGCGGTTGAGTAGGGATCCTGATTGTACGTAGGGAAATCGCAGGCGCTGGTTCGATCTGGCTTTCGGAAGAGGTCGAGGAGACGGGGGCAAATGGAGCAAGCACTTTTTGGAGAGCATTAACTTCTGGGAGAGGAGGCGAGATTAGGACAAAGATTGTCTGCGGTGAGGCTTCATTGTGGTTGATGGCTGAGCGCAGGGATTCTGGCAATTGGGAATGTTTGGCGAACCGTCGGAGATGGTTCACAGGGATAGCAGGGTCGCGAGGGAAAGCAGCATCAAGTGCTCTTTACAACGATGTTAGCCAGTCACGATCTGTCTGCGCCTTGGAAGTTAAGGATCTTACTTGACCACTTTCGAGGCCAACTTCACGTTAACTTCAGCTACATATGCATCCTCTAAAGCCCGTCAGACAATGATCATTCTTAATAAAAGTCCATAGCCTCATGGTTGCTAGAGGAGACATACCAAACTCTTCAGTCGACTGTGTTTCCTGGACGGTCTTGATCGGCACTACACGTCCCTGAAGAGGCTCGATACTCCTCAGGATGTCTCGTCCCTCCATTGACGTGCGTCTCCGCGGCGGGGATGAACACAGTAAGACGAGCGCTTCTATCTCGTAATATGACGCTCTCGACCGCCGCAGCTCACGCGCAATTGATAGAACAATCCCAGAGCGATCGTGGAGTATCTACCTCTCGTATAGCAACCGCCGATCCATTATGACTTCATGGTTTGGCTGACAGTCGGTTGAGTTGCGGCTTTCCATGGATACGCAGTTGTCCAGACCGTAACCCTAACCCCTAAGCCCTAAGCCCTACACTCTGTGTCCTAAGCCCTGCTGTAACCGGACCGGGGTTGATGCCTCAGGCAATACATGATCTCTTACTAAAATTTCGCAATTGACGCATAGGACGAGTCTATGACATAATGCTACCAAACTAGAAGAACGAATCTGAGACAATACACGTAGGAGGCTTAAATTAGATCGAAATGATAAGGGAGTATGATATTCCACACGCTAGTAACAATCGAACGCCCGAAAAATAGCATGAAGCTGTACAGAGATCATGACCAGGTAGTCCGCCAGGTCGTAGAAGCATGAGAAGAAGAAGGTGATAACAAGGCCAAAGAAGAGTCCTAAGGCATTAGACAGCACCAGAATGAGAAAAATGTCCCACATCGCCCGTTAATGCATAAGAAGATCAACTCCGTTCCCGCTTTAGATGTATGGTATGTAGAAATACAATACAATGATTGGAGATCTGAAGGTCCACCCATAGAAAGGAGGTTAACAGCGCTGGAATCCAGCTAACTGCTGCATCGGTGCAGTGAAAGTACTCAGCCTTCACGCTGGATTTCGTACCCGTCGCACCTCTCGACGAGACTCTGATAGTAATCCACCAACACTTCTGGCTGGGGTACAATCCGCCACTCTACGCGGAATAAAAACTCTAACTCCAGAAGAGCCAACTCCGCCATGCTGATACCTCCCACGCGAGCATACGTCTTGTTGGTCCAGAAACTGTCACTGAGACCTTTACTGGCGACGGTCGCACTAGCAATAAGGAATCGGTGAATAGTCAGACTGGAGACGGTAAAGGCCGGATAGAGAGCGCAGAGCCGATCGATGTAATATACCATGCTGAGCAAGATCGGAGGCGACAAGGTGGCGTGGGTTGTAAGCCGTTGCAGATAGTCTTGGACCGAAATCCGAGGTGGTGATCGAGAATGGAAACGCGTCAGGCGTCCGTTATTCAGCGGGATCTTGTCGTTGAAGCGAATCAGCTCCATCAGCATGCTAGAAATTAAAATGACAAGGTCCCGCGGATCAGCCTGATCATAATTCACCGGCAGATATTTCACGTCGGGCTTGGATGGCCGCAGTCGTTTGGATTGACTACCTTCGAAGTCCAAGTCCCCGGAGCGTCCCGCAAGCGAGGCGTCCACGCCATGATCATTCGGGCTGTTACGCTTGTTGGACCCTGTACTGACAGGGGCGGGCATTGGAGGAGCCAAGCAAGGCGCAGTAGCGGGGGGAGGGGCCTGAGCCTCTGCCGGAGCTGGGGCCGACGCGGGTACTGGAGGAGTACCGACAGGTTCAGTGTCCGTCGGACGATCAGAGGAATGCGGATTAACAAGCGTAGCGACCGCAGGAATAGGAGTAGCGGACGAATACGTGCTATTTCCGCCCCCAAGGGTGGTCAGCCCGGCGGACATGCGGCCGCGAGGGAGATCCCCTGAGGGCCCCGGAGGCGAAGCTTCAACCGTATGTCGTGTCAAGGCCGATCGAAGTTCCTCGATGGCCAAGCGGGAAGAACGCGGACTGAAGTGACTACTGGACGCAGGAGGCTGACGAGCAGGCTCATAATGATTGTGACGAAGATTATGAGCTGCTGTTACGGCGCCGACGGCGGCAGTCGTGGATCGATGAGAAAAAGACGGAGAGGGGTGAGAGGGATGAGGAAGCGTTGGAGGAGAAGAGGAGGAAGGATGGAGGGTGGCGGACGGAGACGGTGATGAGACTAGCATGATTATTTCCGCCCAACGAGATCACCACGTGGGCGGACGATTGCACGACGTGCAACGGAGCTGGCAGACGCTGCGAAACCTTGAGCTGCTGCTGCTAGGGACGACAGCGTGCACAGACGCATCGTGATTTGCAAGGTCAGACTCTTTTCAACAAAGAGACTGAAGTCTGAAGGGGAGGGTTTTTAAAGGGCGGAGGAAACGTCCTTGGAAACCCAGATAATAATGATGATGGGTTAGAGTTAAAGCGAATCGTAGAAGTTTTATAAAAGAAAGGAAAAGGAGGGGAACACGGGACTCGGTTCCCAAGGAAAAAAAAATTGTCAAAGAAAAAAGTAAAAAAAGAAATTAAAAAAAAAAAGAAAGTATAAAGTCAGTTAGTTACGAAAATACGAAGGTTATGCCCATCTCCCAGAAACGCAAACTCCTTCACACCGATCTCCAAGAAAACAAGGAATTAAGGAGTAGCCTGGGCCAAGGGACATTGAAAATTGAGCCAAATTCCGCCCAATCGAAAGCAGCCTGGGAGCGCCTGGGCGGAAAGATTGGAGGCCCCTCATACAGTCCTTACAGTTACAACTTACCGCTTGTTACAAGTATCGGCACCGTGAGCCGGTTCAATACGTATTACCAGGGGGTCTCCCAGTTGGAGTAGACAGATCCCTCGTAGATAAATACTCTTATGGGTTATTAAAGGTGTTGATGGCGCCGATTGCCGTCTTCTGACAGGCTTGACAGTTCTCTGATCAGATTCTGAAGTCTTAATTAACTGGCCTGGATCTGATATCTAGCGGCCAGGTTCATCTGACTCAGGTACCCTCTCTGGTGGGGGCTCTATAATAGGTAGTTTAGAGGCACTTACGGAGTAGACAGTTTAGACAGGACGGACTTACGACAAAGTACCTGAAGACTCCTACTATCTACTACTCAGACAGATAATAATGACGGGCCGTTGGTAGCTATTTGGTAGCCATGACCCCTATCATGCTTCACTTGGCTTCACTTGGCTTCATTTGGAGATAGGAGATAGTTTCCTAGGTCACATGGATGGCCACAAATACTCTGAAGCCCCCAATCTCCGCACTCGGTGGTTCAATCCATGTAATGATCACTTATGATTTGGTCATAGCTGAGGATGAACTCCCTAGATAAAATCCTCTTACATACTCCATGTATACCTGTTGAAAGAGCAAAGATCGAGAACAGCATTGAAAAACTACAATCCTCTTCTCCGTATGATAATTTATGAGCCGATGCTTGGAGTAGGGTACTCTGTACTTAAATTACAACGGATACTCTGACTGGCACCTAATGTAATGTAATGCAATTTCAGTTCCACTTCGATCCACTAGGTAAAAGGTAGGGCTGAATCAGTGAACAAGGGCGGAGTCATGTGACGCGGTATTGATTACCCAAGATACCTGTAGATGGTGCATCATGTGACCTGAAATCATGTGGCATCACGTGTACTTCTATTCCGGAAGCAGATGGCGCTCTGGGATACTACAAGATTACATGGTAAGGTAGGATTATAAAGGCAGTACGTAGGTAGGTAGGTAACTATCTAGACAAGGCCCACGATAAAGATAATAAAAGTGCTGTCAGGCTGCTGTAAGAGCTGTAAGAGTGCTGTAAGTGGCACTGGTACCCCATATTCCGATCAGTTACTCCGGACCGCCAAGCTCTCCCCGACTTCAGCGACACATCAGTTTGCGAATGGTCTAGAAAGATTGTCCGTTGAAGAAGGTTCACTTGTCACCGCAATTCGAGGCTCGTACATACATACTTATCCCTGTTTTCTCTGTTTTCTTTCTCTTTCTCTTCTCGGAGCGAATTTTATTTGTTTCAATAGACTCCTTATTGATTCGGTTCATTTCATCGCATCTAGCTTTATCCTTATCAATTGGTAGCTCACTGCATCAGACCCCTCCTGGACCTCCGCTCCGGCTTCCGTCGCCTGTACTCCACATGAGCAAGATATCGATCAAACATTGATTTTCAAATAGCAGCGCTCTTCGGCTTGTTGCATCGAGTCGGTCTCCGTCCCATTGTCGGTTGTCGCCAAAGAAGTCAAACGGATTCGTCTGGCGGCGGCGGCGGCGATCTAACCACTATGACGCGCACTTCTACACCTCCCACCCTACTCCAACTCCAAAGCGCAGACTCGGTATCATCTCAAGCTGCACTACTTCGCAGCTTGAAGAACGAAACGATTGGTCATGATCAGCGCAAAGAGATTTATGTCAAGCGGGGAATCATTCCGGTACTCACCAAGGTTCTCACGTCACGGAAACTGAGCGGGAAGAGCGTTACGGCGACGGTTAAAGAATCGTCTGGCATCAAGTCGGAGGAAGACGATGCTTGTCTACAGGCGATCATCATCCTTGGTAGTTTGGCTCAAGGTAAATTTCCCGTGATTCGTCCCAACTGCGCCAGTAGTGGTCACCATTACTGAGATCGTAAAAAACCAGGCGGCCCAGCGTTCCTTGCGCCCATCCTCGCCAGCAATATACTTCCAACCCTCCTGTCATTTCTGTCGTCTCCCAGCTGCCCTTCCTTCTTCCGCCTTCCCATTCTCCGAACACTCAATAGCATCGCGGATCGACTACCATTGCAGAGTCAGCAGAAACTGAACAAGGATACTCGTTTGGCCGAACTGCTCTTTTCTAAGGAGCATGTGGGCTGCTTGGCTCAGATCATCGGGCAAGATTATACATCTTATCAGGCACAGGCTTCCATTGAACTGGCTGCATCGTTGATTGGGAAGTTGTGCACCGAGGAGGCTCACAAGACTGTCCTGGCTGACTCGGGGGTGTTGGATGCTCTTGCTGTCAAGGTCGCCTCGTTTGTAGTCGCCCAAGGGTTCGTTCTGCCTGGCGCAGAAGAGCATGTCCAGGAGCCGGGCGCATTGGGATCCTTGCCCCCTCCAGCACCCCCGAGTGCCAAGCTCGCTCCAATCCTTCGTGCGGTCACAGTGATTATCGAGCACTCCAAGTGGCGAGCCGAACATTTCCTTTCGTCGCCAGGTATTGTGACTGTTTTCCCCAAGCAGTTACCCGAATTCGCTCCCTCGGACATCAAAAAGGGCCCCTGGGGGTCGACGTATTTCTCCGGTTCTGCCGTCCCCCGGCATGCCGGGATTAGCCCCCTTGAGAGTCTGCTGCCGTCGGTTCCATTATCTCCCTCGACGGCACCGGCGAATGCAGCCAATTTCCCACCTCTAGGTCACCAAGGGGGGCGCCGTCGCCCCAGCCACTCGTTCCCCACATCCTTCTCGCTTTTTGAGTCGACATCTACCGACGACGATGAGAATTGCATCGTCCCCTGGCTGCTTTACATGGTTCGTGCGGAGAACGGCATGGTTCGCTTGATGGCAGCTCGCCTCGTCACGGTCCTTTTCCGTCTTGGCCTGGCGAAGAAACATCGCGTCTCCCTGCTTTCCTATCTGTTGATCCCCATCCTTATCCGAATGCTCGACAAAGACTATGAAATACCGGGCGATGACAGTGTCGAGTACGGTGGCTTGATTCCCGCAACCGCGCGTGTTAAGGAGGAAGCCCCTGCAGTACTCGCAGCTCTGGTGATTGACGATCAGGAATTGCAAAAACACGCCGTCGATGGTGGCGCGATTAAGCGATTATCACAATTGCTGAAGGAGACCTACAATCCGATTCACGAGAATACCAAGCCAATGTGGCACCCGGACGCCGACGAATCTGGTCCAAATCCCGATATGCAACCACTAGAATGTAGACTTGGACCACCCGGGTTCTCGCCAACTCATTGTCATGTAATGCGATATCGGGAGAATATTTTGAAGGCACTTGCAGCTCTCGTTCCTTTCAAGGATGAATATCGCAAGCTCGTGTGTGAGAATGGAGTGGTGCCGTACATTATCGACTCTCTCAAGCCTTGCCCTAGCGAGCTGCCAGTGGACCCATCGACTCTCAAGAACACTGCTACGGATGGCAATCCCACTCCGACTCTCTTGGCCGCTTGTGGTGCTGCGCGAATGCTTACTCGTTCTGTGAGCGTCTTGAGAACCAGTCTGATCGATGCTGGTGTCGCTGCTCCTCTCTTCGTTCTGATCCGTCATCCTGATATCGAAGTGCAAATTGCTGCGACGTCCGTAATCTGCAACCTGGCATTGGACTTTAGTCCTATGAAAGAGGTCAGTCCTTACCCCTTAGGGCTGCGCTAGATTTCGACTTGCAACTGACCCAAGTAGGCAATTATCTCATCGGATATTCTCCCGGTCCTATGCGAGCACGCGCACTCGCCGAACACAAAACTTCGTATCGAGTCATTGTGGGCACTGAAACATGTGTCCTATAATTCTGCCAACGATGTTAAGGTCAAGATAATTGACGGCCTTGGGCCTGGGTGGATCAAGCAGATTATTACGCAGGACCCTACAAGTGCCCTTGCGAAACGGGGAATGGAAGGCGATGTGGACAGTAGTGCGGCGGCGGGTATGAGCCGAGCCAATTCGGCCGGGGAACAAGTCGACCTTTTGAATCCGGTTGAGGATTCGCAAAGCCGGGGCGAAGATCTCAAAATGTCCGACACTCTGCCTGCCTCCAAGATGAGCCTGGAGATGTTTCTGCCGGATGCGACCAGGCGGCGAAAGCTCGTGTTGAATGGAGATTTGGACCAGACCACACAGGCTCGACAGGATGATATCGCGGTACAGGAGCAGACTTTCGACTTGCTGCGTAATCTTGTATGTGGGTCAGGAGCGTCGGAGATGATCGACCACCTCTTCAAGGAGATTGGGCAGGACCTTATCCTCGACGCGCTGGCGGACAAGCTTCGACCTCGCACCATCAATCTCCCCCACCGTCGGGATTCCTCAGCCAGCCGTGCACTCAACGTTCCCACCGAGATCCTCGTCTCGGTCACATATGTTATCATCCATCTTGCCGCGAGCCTTCCATGGCATCGGCAAGTCCTGGTGTCGCACCCCACCCTTCTGCAACATCTCATGTGGTACTTTAACCACAGCCACCGAGACGTGCGTATCAACTGTGTCTGGGTAGTCATCAATCTGACATACGAAGACGACGCGAGCGACCACGATGGCTGTCGCGAGCGAGCCTTCAAGCTACGGTCCCTGGGCGTAATGGAGCGGTTGACAAGCCTCCTTGATGACCCTGACCTTGACGTGCGAGAACGCACGAAAACGGCGGAGCATTTGATCAGTTCTTTGACGCAAACATAGTGATTGTGTATTACTTGACTGTCTCGTTGCTACTGGTTTCTTGTACCATGAGCATTGCTAGGAGACTGGATACGGGGTCCTTGACATGGGTGGGCGTTGGAGCGATTGTATAAAATGCATCGTCTACAAAATGTATTGTCTTCTACGCAGCTGCTTGGCTTGAATATAATATCAGACTATCGACATATACCTCCAGTACCCCTAGAGACGTATCCTGTGTATGTCCAATGTTCTTGCGTGGCTTATCTTATCGGTCTGGTGGGGATTCGATGGTCCGACGACGTCATATCATCAGTTGACTGCGGTGTTAATAAAAGCCCTGGGGAGCCATGTCTACTACGTGAAACTGGTTGCTTCACTCGTATCAAAACACCTCATAACATGGCACCAGTGCCTGCGTCAATTCTGCGTGCTCTCTCCCTCCCGGATGCCTCCATGGCCAGCCTGTCAACCGCAAACCTAGGCTCCGGCTTCACCAGCACGGGGGTGATTCGAGCCACCGTCCCCACCGCCGACGGGACAGGCAAGGAAGAGCGACAGTACTTCGTCAAGACGTCCGCGGACGGCCAGGCCGCAGAGGAGATGTTCCGCGGCGAGTACGAGTCTCTCAATGCCATCGCCGACTCGGTCCCGGGGTTCTGTCCTCGAGCACTAGCCTGGGGACCGCTGGACGCGCAAGACAGCAAGGGAAAGGGCAAGAGTTTCTTTCTCGCGACCGAGTTTCTTGAATTAGGTGCTGGCGCTGGCGGCCGGCGGACAGGCGAGTCCCTCGCACAGCGGCTGGGCAAGTTACACTCTACGCCTGCGCCCGTGGACCCCGAGACGGGCAGGCGGCGGTTTGGGTTCCCTGTAGCGACGTTCTGCGGGGACACGAAGCAGCCGAATCGATGGCGGGATTCGTGGGCGGAGTTCTACGCGCAGGAGCGGCTGCTGACGGTGCTGGAGACGTCGGAGAAGCGGAATGGGAAGGATGCAGGGTTGCGGGAGATGGTGGAGCGGACGGTGCACAGCGTGGTGCCGGCGCTGCTGGGGGATGGACATCTGGGCTATGATCGGGAGGGGAACGGGGAGGGGATCACGCCGGTGGTGGTGCATGGGGATCTGTGGAGTGGGAATGCGGACCGGGGGCGGATTGTGGGCAGTGGGCGCAAGGAGGACGAGGAGGTGGGCGAAGTGGTGTATGATCCATCAGCGTGCTATGCGCACAGCGAGTATGAGCTGGGGATCATGAAGATGTTCGGAGGGTTTGGGTCGGCGTTTTTCGAGGCCTATCATCGCATCGTGCCCAAGACCGAGCCGGTGGAGGAGTATGAGAACCGCGTGAGGTTGTACGAACTGTAAGTGTGCCTTGCTTTGCATTGTGAGAGGTTTGGCTGACTTTAAAGGTATCATCACCTGAATCATCATGCCATTTTTGGGGCTGGATATCGATCGGGTGCTGTATCGATTATGGAGAAGCTGCTTAAGAAATACGGCGATTAGTTGAGCCTTGGTCTCTATTGCTTCTAGATTCTCGATATATAGAGTAGAGATATCTGATGAATTCATGATTATCCATCAAGCATCTTAGAGCTATCCTGATTATCTATCTGCAGATGGTTGATTTACTGATACTTGGCCGTTTTGAAGATTCTCACCATTTGCAACGACGAATAAGGACAAAACTGGAGTAAATCCTGATGTGCAACAGCATCTTGTTAACTTATGGCATCATACCTGAGTCAGCAGATCTGCATGAAGGAATCCACGAAATATAAAGCTTAATGCCGTCCCTTGTCCCAAACCCTGGCACAAGACTTCTGATTGATCTGGAAATATTGGTACCTCGCTAGAGATTCTCAAGACAGCTACGATGCCTTCCATTCCAGACGCCGAGCTCTACCCCGAAGCCAGTGGCCCAGCAAAAGCGCTGGTTGACAGGCATCAGGCGGAGCAGCCTTTGAAGCTCTATGCGGGGTGGTTTTGTCCGTGAGTTCTTTAACCGTTTCACGTTCACTGTACAGAGCTGATCATCAACAGGTTTGGTACGCACCAGCGTAGAATAAGCGACGCTTAGATTGCCAGCTATCTAACCTTTGCAGTCCAACGTGTCTGGCTTGCTCTCGAAGAGAAGCAGATCCCCTACCAATACATCGAGGTCAATCCCTATCACAAGCCACAATCACTTTTATCCCTGAACCCGCGCGGGTTAGTCCCCACACTCGCTTGTCCTACGGGACAGAGTGACAGAAATGGCGTCAAGCTCAAGCCACTCTACGAGTCAAACATCATCCTCGAATACCTCGAAGAAGCGTATCCCGACCATCAGCCGCGTCTGCTTCCTGCAGACCCGTACGAGAAAGCCCGCGCGAAAATCTGGATGGATTTTGTGACCACCAGGGTTATCCCCGCGTTTCATCGCTTCCTGCAGTACCAGCCTCAGTCCAGAGACGAGGATGTGGCTGCTGAGACTGACAAAGTCCGCCAGCAGTTTCTGGATCGTCTGAAGGAGTGGACCAAGGAGATGCATCCCGAGGGGCCATTTTTTTTAGGGGATCAGATCTCAATGCCTGATCTTGTGCTGGGCCCTTGGGCCGTGCGGCTCTGGGTGTTTGATGAGTACAAGATAGGCGGTCTTGGGATTCCTGCTGAGGGTCAGGGGGGAGCGGATGAAGCTGTCTGGCAGCGATGGAGGACATGGCTCCGTGCAGTAGAAGGCAGACGGAGTATAAGGGAGACAACTAGTGAGAAGAAGCATTACCTCCCCATCTATCAGCGCTATGCAGACAATACTGCCCAGAGTGAGTTGGCAAAGGCCACAAGGGCTGGAAGGGGAGTGCCATGATTCCAAGCACTTGTGGATATGATTTATATGGATTCTCAACGGTTCAGAATGACACACATGCTCTCATATGTTCCCAACAAGAAGTTAGAAACAGACACCAGGATCCATCGGATCATAATAGTCTCATCTAACCTACCAGTTAATTGAATATATGCAAACAATAACGGAATAATATCTGACCCGTCTCACGTGACACTCCGCCAATCATGCGCGGCCAAAGATTCAATCGCATCCATCGCGCATCATTCTAGGTCCCCGTACATTTACCTATTTTACGTTCTCTACCTGGCAAGACAGGAAGGTTCTTCCGCCAGCACCACAGGATGTCTTCGGAGAAGAAGGATGACTCGACACAGCCGGCTGGAACCGACCCCTCTCTGCCGGAACCCCCTGCCATCCATCCGTCCTTCATCCAGGTAGCCAAGCCGTATATCTTTGAACAGACGATTCAGAAATGTATCGCGGCCATGGGGGTCAATCCTCTGCGCGAGGAAGCTCTGCGCTTGCAGGGGGTGACATGGATCGACAACGTGCGCCGTGTGCTTTATCTGTACGTCTGAATGCTTGAATTGCAAGTGAACATCACTTGAGCAGAACTATTGCTGACTCGACAGGCCTATTCGCACCTTCAACACTGCTGTTGTCTATTATCATAAATTTCGCCTTATTCACCCCGACACAGAGTACAATTATATGGTAGTCGCACCATGCGTTAATCTGCAGTGTAACTAAGCTGACTTGACTGGTCAGGATGCCGCTGCGGCTGCTCTATTCACGGCATGCAAGATTGAGGACACCCTTAAGAAGTCCCGGGAGATTGTATGCGCTGCGTACAACCTGAAGCTCCCTCCATCAGAGCACATGTCTCCTGACAACCCCGTGAGTTCCCCATCGTCTCTCTGGCAACCAGGGCCGACTAACATAGCCTTCATAGGTTTTCGAAGCTCATGCTCGAGGTATCATCGGTCTGGAGAGGCTCATGCTCGAAGCGTCTGGCTTCGACTTCCGCACCCGCCATCCGCAGAGGACGTTGATCAAACTAGCCAGACACTATGGCCTGTCGCCGCAATCCGAGGTCTCCAATCTCGCCTACCGCATCTCGCATGATCTCTATCGAACCTTTGCCCCCATCAAACAGACCACCTCCACCATGGCCTTTTGCTGCCTCGAACTCGCGGGTCGCCTGCTAGATCAGCGTCTGGAGCCCGTGGAGCAGGGGTCCGATTACGAGCAGTGGAGGACGAGCCGCGAAGAAGTAATGGGTAGGTCCCCTGCCTTTTCTCAAGTCTACAGACAACAATAAATTCTAACAAAAGACTAGAAACCCTCTTTGACCTGCTCGAGTTATACACACACAACCGCAGCTCGACCACCGTTGGCCCGCATTTCCCACCTGATCGATTCCTCACAGTCCGTATTCCATTGAACAAAGAAGCAGAGGCCCAGAGATTACCCCGGTACACGCACTGGGTCGAAGACAGCAGAGATTCCAAGCCTACCAATGGCGCCAGGGACGGCAGGGATCGCCCCGCGCCAAAAGACAGAGATAGAGACAGGGGAGCCGGGACGGCACCCGCGGTGCACCCGCTCACCCCTGTCGCTGCGAACGGGGAGAGGCCCAAGGCTGGGGAACGAGGCCGGGACGGTGCCGTGCGCTTCATGCTTGATTCGGAGCGCGCAGAGGCCGAGAAGGCGCGCGTCGCTGAGTACTTCAAGATCGAAATGGAAGAGTACGAGGTGGAGGAATGAATGTCTTTGGACTTGAAGTCACGATACTACCCTACACAGACGACATACCCGCTACTGTTGGGTTTCCCGGCCCCTTCCGCAGCGGATGGACAGCTGGGTTCGAGCATTCGGGCAGCTACGCCGGTACGCTAGCCGCGATGGATCTGTTAGCCCGCCTGCCGCAAGATTCATGAGTCCAGCTGAGCACAGCACGCTTGGTGTGAGAGCTTGACAGGACGCGGATATAGCTGCGCTCTGAATGCGTAGCGTTATGCATTGAGCGACGAGCTGGGCGCCGCTGTTGAGTCCCCGATGTCGAGGACCATCCAGATACTCCTTGACGGTGTATCTACCGACGGAAAACCTGCACTGATGTTTCATGCGGCGTACGCCATACGCGATACAATCGCTGCAGGATAATAGCTACCTGCTACCTTGCACATTCTGTTGCATTACATGTCAAACGACAAATCTTTTTAGGTAGATAAGTACCTACACACCCACGTGAAAGCTATATATGATGGGACTTCACACAGTGCATCGAGCGCTCAGCCAATCCACCTCTAGGGGACGTAAGAGGATGTAAAACAAAAAGAATACGAATCCAGGCTGACCATGTCTTTTGCCCGGCTGAGTCAGGCAACCCGACCGACCTTTCCTGACTTGTATACACCAACAACCCCAATGCGTTGACAAGAAATTACAGTGAGAAAATAGAAAGATTAAAAAGAGGATGCATAGAAGCCGAACATGTTCATCAAGGGCCGCAGGCACCAAAAAGGAGATGGTCATTATCGAATCATTTTCAACGGCGTTTTAACTCGCCGTTAAGGCAATCCAGTATCTGTATGATTTGTGAGCAGGTGGACCTTTTGTATCGAAAACGATTGAACATACCGTCTCAGAAACGGTTCCCTGGTTGTAGAGGTATTTGCCCAAACCGCGAACCACTTCGAACTGCTCCTCCACTGTGAGGCCGTTGATGGCAGCCTCGATGATATCCCCAACGCTGGCCTTGTATACTGCAATGAAGCTGTGGTAATACATGTAGGAGAAGAAGCCCATGATAAACTGGCAGTCCATGCGGTCGGTGATACCACCGTGGCCCGGGATGGATTCACCGAAATCCTTGATCTTGAAGGTGCGCTTGAGGCCCGATGCGAAGAAGCCACCGAAAGGCGCAATGAGAGAGGCAAAGGTGGCAAACACCAGGATGTGGAACTGCATAGGCTCAACATAGAAGGTCTTAGCCAAGCCAGTCCATTCTGGGAGAGAATAGGGCTGAGGCACAAAGACAGGGTTGGGGTTGCATTGCAGTCCAGTCAGGACGTTAGCTCCCAAGTCGTTAACCGGGCAGACAAAGTACTTGTAGCGCATCAGGATGTTGGTCATAAAATAACCGAAAATAATAGTGCAAATCCATGCACCAAGGAAACCCTCAACAGTCTTCTTGGGCGACAGCTGGATCAGCTGAGTGCGACCAAAAGTGATACCACACACGTAGGCGAAGATGTCGTTTGTAATGACGAGGGAGGCCGGGAGGAAAAACCAGATCATGCCCTCGAAGACATTGTTCATGACAAAGTGCGCTTGGACGACGATCAGGTACAGGGCCATATGCGTCCATGCAAACTGGGTGAATTGAAAACGGTAGTGACCTTTTTGTAGCGATGCGACGAAGAAGACGAATCCTGAAAGTGGACAGTATCAGCGGCTGGACCGATCTTGTGGAGTAAGCGATCAAACTCACCCATAACATAGAGCGTAAAGCTGATAAAACGATGGTGAGTTGCCAGAGGAAGCAATCCCTTCTCAACTAGGAGGATATGCTTGAAATAGTAGATCACACTTTCTCCATACAAAAAGTACATGGTCGTGGCCAGGAAATACCAGTTGAGCGACTTGGTAAAGCGGATGTTCTTCTCCCTGC